CATTCCTAGTTCTGCACTGAGCAATAGTTGCTTCTCTCTCTGCTGCAAAGCTAAATGGATCTGTGTACTTTGGCTTCAGGAAAAGTTGAAAAGATTAAGAATATTATTTTGTGCAATATTTTCATAGTTATGCCTTTTCTCTTGGCATCTTCAGTTGCAAAAATAGTGAGCTTTCTTTGTTCTGGTTATTGTGTTTGGTTTATATGTAAGGCCTGAACGGAGACTGCTGTACTTTAGCAAGTAGATCTTTAAGATTGGTTAAACATGTGCCATCCTCATGTTTGTTGTATTAGCTAACTGGAAAGTGATGCAGAGTGCAAATGGATTAGGTTTACAAGCAGCAAGTGGCAGGGACTATTGTGAGGTTACAATGAAGTTTCCTGGTGAAACAGTACCAAAGTGGGTAAGTTTTCTTTCGTTCACTGGTCCCCCACCCCTCTACCCTGTCTTGCCATATAGGAATATAGGGAAACTATCGCAGCTACCATGGTAGTTTATCTTCTTCATCATCATTCAACACATGACACATTATTGCCTAATTCTCTTTCCTGCTGGCCCACATAAAATCCAAATCACTTGATTCTTATTTCACAAATTTGGGAACCCAAAACTAGTTTTTACATATCCTCAGCTAGTACTTTAACCACCTTTTTTTTTTGGTTTCACTTATAATAGAAAGATCCAAAAACTGGAGAACTTGAGGGCTTGTCATATGAGCTGAACTTATGTGAAGCTGTGGCTACTTGGGAACAGGTCAGTAATTTTTTCACACGACTACTGGATTAACTTGTACTATTTCTGTTATTAGTGAAATAAGGTGTTCTTTTTCTCTGACAAGAGCATATGCTTGAAGCTTGGCTTACCTAAAGTTTACAGCTTGCACCTTATTTTACATACTACAATTGATTTAAATACAGTGGAATGATTGCTAGGTGAGGAACAGTACCACAGTACTCACAAAGGAGTACATTGATGCCCTACCAAATGGATGGGAGGACTATGCATGGAGAAGGATTAATAAGGGGGTACTTCTGTAAGTGTGATCTCACTCTTAACCATATGATTGTTGATATTGTTGGTACTACCACTTAGAAGTCCTTATATAAGTGCATAACTAGCTGCATAACCATGATTGGAGTGATTAACTTTTGCTTCGAAGTTAATGTAGACACTCTCTTACTGCGTCGCACTATGTTGATTGTTGCTTGCCTTTTTGTGATATATAATTGGAATATATTATATGATCTTGCAGCAGATCGAAATATATACTTGTTACATCGTTCTGCTGATACCTCTTAATGCTTATAAAAGTTCTTCAATCTTTCATGAATTATTTTACAATTAGCGTGAACCTCAACTTCCTGTAACTCAAGAATCTGGTGTGGGTTGTTGATTTTTGTGGAGTATCACTTTTCTGGTGCAGGAACCAATGTGAAAATAGAACTCTTTGCATGGAGAAGCTCTCTCTAGTACTTCCAGAAAGACCACCATTATTTCCAAGGCAGTATAGTCGATGTGCTGTTATAGGCAACTCAGGAGATCTTCTTAAAACAAAATTTGGTGATGAGATTGATAGCTATGAAGCTGTTTTCAGGGAAAATGGAGCACCGATACAGGTTTTGCAAGCTGATCAACTTCTCTTTTTCACTTGATTTTGTGTACCTCTAACACCTGCCTTCTTTGGTTTTTACAGAACTACACAGAATTTGTGGGCACGAAAAGTACATTTCGCCTTCTTAATAGGGGTTCTGCTAAAGCTCTTGACAAAGTAGCAGAGTTGTATGGTATTGGCACAATTCCCACTTTTGTAGGGTTTGATCTTTCATTATGACCATGCTAAATATCTTAAATTCTACAGAAAGAGGAAAGGAGGTGTTGATAGTCAAAACAACTATTCATGATATCATGAACAAGATGATTCGGGTGAGCACTTTCTTCTGCATTTGATATACACAGATGGACTAGTAAAATACCCCATTGTTTTGCACGATGTGTATTAACATAGACTATATTAAACTATGTTGCTCAGACTCTTCAAAAATGTCATCAGATGCGTGTCGGATCCTTCAAAACTAGTGCATTTTCGGAGGACCCGACACAAGTGCGGCAACATTTTTGGAGAAGCCTAGTAACTTAGATATTAAAGAACTATCCACTGGTGTCGGAAGTAAGAGAATATGGTCCATTAATAAGATGATGAAACAACTGGAATATTTAATTTTGCACTATATTGGAAACGAGTGTCATGTATGTTGCATCACTATGCAGAAATTCTGTAATGTAGAATGTTAACACAAGTATAATCATAACACTGACTGTATATCCCAGCTGACTTTTGTGTGCTTTTGTTTCGGGAAGGTCTATCTAATAAGCCAAAATTTTAATGAGTTATTTCTGATATCTAGTTTGGGAAGACCTTTTCCTTTCGTAATGAAATATAAGCCAGAATTTTGGTTTGGCTGTCAGTATGCTTGAAATAGTTCCTGCATTATGTGTTGCTTGTTATTCCATAGCTAATGTATCCACTCCCAAGTGTCTTTCCCAAACTCGATAAATCTTTGGCCATGTGATGCAATAAAGTTGTTTCTGAGGCAGACTGGAAACTATAATCTGTTTGGTAGTATATCATTTTGTGGGAAGAATCTCAACCCAGTGTTCTGCATCAATAAGGTTGTTTCAGACAGACTGGAAATTATTTATTTACATCTTCCTGTTTGGTATATCTTTCCGTAGGAAGTTCCCATTCTCAACAAAGTGTATCTCATGTTGGGTGCATCCTTTGGTTCAGCAGCAAAAGGAACTGGACTGAAGGCTCTAGAATTTGCCCTCTCCATCTGTGACACTGTCGATATGTATGGTTTTACAGTTGATCCAGGCTATAAAGAATGGTAAGACGAAGCTAAAACAGCTTATGGTGGATATTCTTTGTTCTAAATATTTCTAGAACGTATCATTGCATCTTCCTTTCCTGCATACGTGATAATAAATTTTTTATATCATCACAGGACCAGGTATTTTTCAGAGTCTCGGCAAGGTCATACACCTCTGCAAGGAAGGGCATATTATCAAATGATGGAATGCCTAGGGGTTAGTTAACTACTCCTATAAAAATGCTACTCTGTTTCTTTTTCCCCAAATGATGAGTCTTCATTCCTGTTGAAATAGTGTAGTATGAGTATCATTGTTCAAGTTGTTTAGACAAGTCTAAGGGGAGGGAAGTTGGTCATACTATGAAAATAATGTCTTTAACCACTTACTTCAATTGTCAGAAAAGAAAGTAAGCACACTTATCACTAAAGAGAGAGCACGGAGATCACAGATTTGCCGGTAACACACACGCAGAAGTACAGACGGTGCAGATACAACCTGGAGAAACATTTACACAATACTCCTAAAATAGACAACTAGAAACTTGAAATATTTACACCATACATAAAATAGAGACAACTAGAAACATATAGATTTTAGACCTCCTAACATAGAAGCTTGAAAACAGTCATAGTACAGCTAGTAATATCACTTGGATGCTTAGCTGTTGTTACATTCTCTTTAGGGTATAAGAACGTTCTTCGTTGATATATTGCAAATCTAACATTTATCAATTTTTTAAAGCTTATTAAAATCCATTCTCCAATGCGAGCCGATCCAGATCGTGTTGTGAAGTGGTTACCCAGCCGCAGCACAATCATTGCTGCCCGAATTGCATCAGAGAAGTTGCTCAGGTGAATGACTGTTTCTTTCAGTGGCAATAAACTGTATTTCAACTGTCAAGAAAATCCACATCCCAATTTCATCTCAAGTCCCTTTGTTTAATTTGTTCAACAACCTTATATAAGCTTGGTTTGCATGCCTGTAGGAGAGTCGGAGCTGGATCGACCAATCTTTTGGCTACATGTTCCATAATCAAGAAGCAACAGAAAGGAAATGATGTGGACATGTCAAACCTTAGAAAAGCAGCTGTTGAACATCGGAAATATGTAAAAGGCACTACAATGTATCCTTTGGAGCACAATCCAGGACATGGCCAACTCTGCACAGTTCCCAACAAGTTGATAGTCAGAAAACTAAATTAACACGAATTCATTACACCAAACTTCAGGGTCATGCTGTGAAAAAGCCCTGCGTTCTTTGGGAAGATGGTCTGCCAACTTTTTCTTTTGGTGCACTTGTTGACCATTCCCCACTGTCTTGAGAATTTGCGTGCTTGCTACCTGAATGTTTTGCTCAAAGTTGGTTACAAGTATTGTTGACAAGGCCTTCTCGCGTCCAAGGTTAAGGTGGCTCGCTCTTCTCTTACCAAAATTATACAGCAGAGTTCTCTTTATATTCATGTATTCTTTTGGCGGCTTGTATGGGACCAGGATGACTCTCTTTCAGTTAGTTTAGCCTTTTAAAATGTAATGAGCAACCGGCTCTTTTCTCGTGGTGTTGGTTTTAATATATGAAATGAAGAAATCAAGCGCTAATCAGCATTTGTTATGGATTAGAAAATCTAACATCTTTGTCCATTTAATTTATGGTATCATTCAACAACAAAATCTTAATCTGAAAATATAATACTCATATTCTTTTTCAGAACATACATCATTGGAGTTGTTCAACTCTATTTTCAATTAGAATGGCTCGTACAGCTTCTGATATATACAGTTGGGAAAACATCTAAATCCTGTTCTGAATGCGAAACCAGAAACGATCCTGGTTGCCCTTTTTATTTTTCATAAAATAATCCTGATATCTGGGAATGAGAATAACCATGCAATAAAAGTTTCTTAACTACCAGGATGCCATTTTCTGGCAAATTAGTATTTACATCCTTGCAAACTTGATTCTTACATCTCTTTACAAAATTTAGAAGAGCCGATGTTACAGAATTGGTCGAGCATGATTCAGGTTCTTTGGAACACAAAAACAGAAAGATAAAATGGTTCTGCACATTTGGTCCAGAACATCAAGAAGCAAATTCAAGATGAGGTGAAAGCACATAGCATAACAAAACAAAGTGGCATCTAAATAATCAATTCATTGGTTTGGATAAGAATCTCAAACATTCTGAAAATCCATATACGTGGAAAGCAGAACTCTGAAAATTTATCGGTGCTTGTTTCTATGACAGGCCTTTTATTTAGATTTGGAATAAAATATTCTGAATGTGGAGTAGGTATCAATTACAGAATAAGCAACAACCTAGCAGATAAGCTTGCTTTTGCTGATATTTATAACTGACCAGCAAAATTATATCTTCCAAAGCCTGTCAAAAACTAACCAAAGACGAAGGAAGCATGTCCAGCCGAAATTTCTGCCACAATGAAATTCATCCAAGGAGGTTCTGAAAGGAGCAGGCAGAGGAGAATGCAAGAAAGATGTGGTGGGTGTATTTGCACTTTGTACCCAACTGTCAATGCCAGAGGTGCAGTGGACGCAAGAGGTAAACCACATTCACTGACCTAAAGTCATAAATCTGTCACGAGAGGGAAAGGGTTGGTAACATCTTAATTTTGGAGAGGACAGGCCAGTCTTTGCATAGTCATCTGTTTGCTTGCGGTTGTCATTCCAAGGGGAAAGGGGACATTGGTATTCACTTCACCATCTTGTTGTCCTGCACTACTTGGTGAGGACAAGCCATGTAATGGTTAATAAAATGATATTCTTGATAAGGAGGCATACCGAAGCTCATTTTCTAAAGAAGCATTTCAGAGACATCAATATGTGCAACTCAATATGCTTTTGCAGGGTTGCTCTAACTAAAGTATGCCACTGTGTTCTTATGTGTAGTTCATCCTTCTACCTAAGAGTTCCACGGCAACATTTCTACATGGCAATGTGGATGTGTCCTGCTATAGTTTCATTTAAGCAAGGTATCTTTGGGAAATTAACAGTGAATCTTAGAATTCACATCACCATTGTCAACTCCTAAAACTTAGCAAAAAGTTAAAAGTAAGTACCACAGAGAGAGGTTCATATAAATATTATCTTTAACAGGACATACGTAAGCATAAGAACACAGGAACTACAAAACAATTATAAACACATTCTCAGAGTATTAGTGTTTCAGAAACAACCTCTCTTTAGTCTCTACCTTACCAAGGTAGGGGGTACGGTTTGCGTACCCCCTCCCCCTCCCTAGACCCCACTTATGGGATCACAGTGGGTATGCTGGTGTTGGTGTTGGTGTTAGTGTTGTCGTCTCAGAGTATTAGTTGCACACAAATGATATAAACCCGACAATGTAGTAAGCAAGTCCGTAACCAAAATTCCACAACATCATGTGCAGGATAGAATTGACTTCTGAATTAACACTAAGCAGACATTAGATAATGGCCGAAGGAGAAGTACTTTTTTTTTGGGATCATGGACATTAGAAGGGTCCAAGGGAAAATGTTCACTACAGCTCACTCCCATCATCAATAAAATTATTTTAACTTATCACAAAGAAAATGTTCTCTAGAGCTCCTCATGCTACAATGAATTGAAGATACAATTCACAACGCTGCAGGTACTCAAGAAAGAAAGGATGCCAATGTCTCAGTACAGTCATTTCGGGAGTAGCAGCAACACACATTAAGCAACCAAATAAGAGTTGTGGAAGTTAAATAAGATTGTGAAATCAGCTTAAATAAGATTGCAAAATCAAGATTGTGAAAAGATGATTGGACATAAAACTTTATTAGGAAAACTAAGGAGTAACTATCATTCATTTTCTTGAATGATGCTTCACTATTTTTTCTGATCTCAAAAGTTTTGATCTATTTAGGATCAAATAAACAAAGATGTTACCAACAGTAAGAGCACTGTACACTTCACAGCCATTGCTAGTATATCAGAATTGCATCTGAACTACAAAAAGAACACAAAAACTGCAAAATTAGAGGTTAAGCAGCAAGTGATGCTAATATCTGGAATGATTTCAACCATAGGCTTACGCAGCTACAAAAACCTTAAAGGGATACCTTTTCCCTGGTAGAAACTCATGAGAAACCTTTATTGAGGTTCTGAATTGAGCAATACATCTTCCTTCGCGATCCGACTGCAGTGATTCCCATATCCTTTAGATCCTCCAATGTTAGCATTGGTAAAACCTCATCATCAACCTCATGAATCTCAAACAGAGAGGCATACTGACCAAGTCCCAACTGGTTTAGCCATACCTTAATCCCATTCCTCTTCCAATCTGGGGCCTTTGTATCAGTTGGGCCATCCTCAGAAACCCTAATTTCCCTCTTCCTACTATTCACATTATCAATTCTCCTATCAATGTCAATAGTACTCATGTTTACATTATCATTAGTTTTGTTATTGTCACGGGAATGAACTGGGCTGTGTTCATTATTCTCCGAATCTTCGACATCAGTGCTGAGCATTTTGTCATTTTCACTATCATTAACTTTAGGAGTCCAACCCGACCTCATCTTCTTAGTCACTATCCCCTTCTTAGATTTCAAATTCTTAATCTTCCAACTACCAATTGTAACATCATCCAAATTCGCATCCCCAACATCCTCTTCATCAACATTACTCCATTTTTTCCTAGAATTGCTACTTTCATTAGGGTTCGTATCAACAAGAGTAAGAGTTTGATTACTTGATAAGTTTGTACGATGTCGATTACTCTTGGATGAATCCTTCCAGAGAGACTTGGATTTCCGTTGGTCGAACGAAGAATGTTCACCGCCAATGTCGCCTAACCTTACGCTGGGTCGACGATAACGCTTGGAGCCGATGTTGTCATGTGCCGCCATTTCTCCGCCGTCGTCCGGTGATTGATGCTCGGACATTGAGAAAATCGGTTAGGGTTTGGGGGAGAGAAAAGAGCACATTACGGAGAGGGGTTCGATTTTATATGAGAAGTGAAAGAAGAAAACTGGAAGGCAAATTTATTTGAGTATTTTTGTTATGAAAACAAAGTGAGGGCTGAGAGTGAGAAACCTTTGGAACCTTCGAAAGAGTGGAAGATGGATTATATATATATATATATCTTCTAGATGCATGCCACGTATGCAGGATCATAGATGAGACAATAGTGGGTTCCATATGCATGGCTGGCTCCATCACCGATTGCATCTTTTCATATATGTTATTTGTCCGTTTTATTTTATTTGATTTGTATATTAAAAATAAATAAGTAAAATTTTTCTTAGATTTATGTGAGTCAATATGAAAATAATATCTCACAACAAAACTAGAACATATGATTAAACTTTGAAATAAGGTATAGTATTTATGTGATATTGAGACTGATTTTCTTTTTGAAAAAGAGGAGTAACTATATTTTTGATCGGGGGAGTATTTTTTCTCCTTTGACGGCTCAATATGTAAAAAAAAATACACAATTTCTGCTTAAACTAGTCCCTGATTTTAAAAGTAATACTTAAAATTCGTTGGAGGTTATATTACTCGTCTCAAAAATGGCAATTATAATGTTTTGGATTTGAGCTCGGGATATAGAATTATCTTTAATCAAAATATTTTATTCTTCAAAGCCGAATCTAAATTGGTCGGATCAATATTAAATGGGAAATAAAAATAAAAAGATTGGTATATGATGGCCAGAAATGGATGGAAGGTGACGTGTTATCATCATATTAAGCTCATCTGAATTCAATATTTCTATACGAAGGCATTTGTGTTGCATCAACATTTTTAGTACCACTCTAACAAAATTGAAATATCTTCTCTGAGAATCAGAGTTGTTTGAAAAACATCATTTTCCCCCTCAATATTCGTAATTACGCCCTAAAACCTTTGACTAGCATAATGAACTTTACTGGTTTTAAAACCTTTGACGTTATTAGTATTCGAAGATTAAATTCTTTATATACATAAAAGTAATTTTTTATTAGATTGATTAGGCAGGCATCTCAATAAGATTTACATGTAAATAAAGTAACTTAAATATTTTTTGCAAGTAAAATTTCATATATAGCCCGAGTAAATTCATCTAATACATTTCAGTTCATCAAAATGCAATTAGACGAATTTGTACGAGTGAAGTTTGCTACAGCTGATGAACGATCAGGTATCAGGCCTTGCCTCTGCAAAAGAGAAGTTTGCTACAGCTGATGAACGATCAATGTCTTTTCTTTTCATTTCCAGAACTTGATTTAGATGATGGACTAGATATAATTCGCACGAACAAATAGACGATGAGAACTAAAGAAAAATGGGATCCATACTCTGCAAGCAACTTCTGCACAAAGAAAACAACTTACTATTAAAAAGAGATTTTAACATCAACTTGGCAAACAAAATATTAACCGAGAAATATTTGAGATTCTGACACACAATTCGAAACTCGCTAGATAATGGGCCTGTTCCTCTACCCTTCTATATGTAAATACCAAAATTTTGTTTTTCGACACTGTTCAAACACTTGACTTGAGCTTATCCACACATAACGTGATGTGATCTTACCACTAGACATGCCCTGGGCACAGGTAACTACAGTATATATGCTAGCAATTACTTCATTTGGGAACGTTTGCTTAAGAACTATTCCAAATAGGAAATAGTTTCCAGATTAGTCACCACTAACCCTATTTCTGAAACAACTTCCCCTTACAAACTAACAGAAATGTACTAGAACCTTCACTTGCTTTTTTCGATTTGTGCCAGTGAAACTCAGAGAGACATTGAGTAGTGGACAAATGAAATAGAATAAAAGGAGGTGTCAAGTTACCTTTGCCTGAGTTTGGAAGCCAGTCCAAAACAGCCCAATTGGTAAAAGAAGAAACAATCTTTAGTCAGAACATCAATAAATGTTTAAAAAACAATTATCAGGAAACATATGTCATGCTTGTGTTAGGAGGGCAAAGTTACCAAATCTAATTTGTAGGCAACAGCTTTTTCTGCTAAGGTTTCTAGTGCAGGAACAGGGGTGGAATATGCTACCTGCAAAATAGTCAACACAAAGCAAAAATAGAGTTGTGAAATAGAACGGTGAAGGCTCGAGGCTACAAATAGGTTCTTAACAGATCTTCTACTAATCAAACCTGTAGTTTTGATTTTGTAGGAATACGATAAGTTATGACAGCAGGAGCACTGTAGTAAGTTGTTTGCACTTTGGATTCCAACTTAAAAGTGTGTGAAACATGAGAGCCACTGCCAATCACATACAACAAAAGAAAAATAGTGAATTAAAAAAACAAACTAGAGCAAGATTGAGAAACTAAAGAAACAGGATGTGAAAACAAGTTTTTGAATATACAAAAGGTTTCACTTACGCATCAAGTTTTTCCCATGAATTGGACGTGTTTCCAGCCACGAAATCAAATATTTCTGTGGACCAGCTATCATCAGTAAGATTTACATCATATATAGCACTGCATAAATTCAGAAAAGATATATGAAGTTTCTTCAGATAGACTAAACTTATCATCCTTCCAAAAAAAAGAAGTTCAAAGAACAGCCACAAATGCAAACCCACTCAAGTAAACTAGCGTACAATATCAGCCAAGTACCCTTTACTACAGAAGAAGATGACATGTTGATCTGTGATAGGTGTTGCATACATGTTTAAAAATTGTAATAGGAGAACAATATGAAACTATGAAAATTAAGCAATGCAGATCGGCAAAGATCATAGAATGTAGTGTAAAATGAAAATATGTTTATCCATTTGAGAGCAATATTTTATGAATAGTCACAGCTCAAAATTCTCAAGTACAACTAGAAAGAACAATTAAAGAAAAGAAGATGCAGAAGTGACTATTGACAAATTACCAGAGCTCTAAGACCTACAACCTCCAAAGCAAACAATGATGAATAAGTAGAGCATGTACGAATATTTGTTACTTGGAAAGCATAGCTATACCAAAACAAAATATAATACCGATCTAGAGTGTTTTTTACTGCCTGAAATTCAACAACATGATTTACCCCTGCAAGTTTTATCTGCTGATTTGTCATCTCCATCATTGTTGTTGGGTTTCACCTAGTGTTTTTTGTCTCAGCTAAAAAGACATGTGTATTGAACCTGAAATTTCATGATTCTCAACCACGAATATACTTCTCATTAAGATATTGTAAACTCATAGCATGTCCAATTTTAACAAATGGACATCATAAAAAATCTTAAAATGTCTTACAATTTTAATTAGAATGACACAATTCATTCAATCAAGCTAAAAAAGAATCGGAAAATCCGCAGAAAAAGCAAAAGATGACCAAATTGGCAGATACTTCTTGCACTAACGATTTTAGCAGAGCAATGAATGTAACGCATTCAGAATCAAAAAATTGAATTGATCCCCAATTTCTCTGTGAAATTCACGATCTCATTTTAAAGGTTTATAACAGGAGTTCATCCATTCTACTGTAAACAAATAAAAAAGAATTAGATTGTTCAAACAACAACAAATGCAAGCTATAAGGAAAGAGCAAGGAGTACTTACACAGATCCATGATTATAGACGTCAATGGAAACGGAGACCCGTTCGGTGCCGGACTTGAGTTTTAGGAGTGAAGCCTTCTTGTGAGACACCACAAACGAAGTTTCTGCTGCCCCTGTTAAAGAGGAAACTCCAAAAAGCGCAAAAATGGTGAAGATTATCAATGGTGCTGTCGCCATTAGCAAATTAAATGTTTAGGAGGAGATGAATATGAAAAATTATATAAACGTGGAGGAAAGAAATATATATATATATATATATATTTATATATATTATTAGGGTACTGAAAAAGAGGTCAATGTCAGAAGTGGGCTTTTGGTATATACTGTCCCTACCTCAATTTGTTTCTATCGTCTCCACGGAAGCCCACTAAAATAAAATGGAAAATCACATAGTAACATAACGTAAAACGTACGATATGTATTTATTATTTAATGAAAATGATGCATAATAATAATAAAAAAATTTAGCCTATAGGTACTAAATTACAGATATTCAAATTTGTTGGTCGCTTGTTCATCAGATTTGTATGAATCCGAAATTGTATAATTTGGTTCCACTAGTATAAATTTAGATTTTATATATGTTTATTCTAGATATTTGTATAAGTTTTATAAAAAAAAATCCTAATAAATTATCATAGATTGGCGAGCAAAATATACAAACAAATTTTTAAAAAATTCCTCAATGTATAAGTACAAAATTTGTATATACTTTATCCTATTGAATATTCGCAAGAAAAATATATAAATGGACAGAAATATACAAACAACGGCCTCATACCAAACAAAATTATAACTATATAGCGTAATTATCGAAACTATAGCTATATAAACTTATTATGTTTGTTATTTTTGAAATTTTCTCTGCTATTTATCATTGTAATTTTTTTTAAAATGGAAAATACACAAGTACTCCCTCAACCTATGCCTGAAATTCCAGAGAAACACTTATACTATAGTAATGTCCTATTCCCCCCTCCCCCCGAACTTATTTTATAAGTAATTTTCTACCCCTTTTAGGCCTACGTGACACTAGTTTGAAAGAAAAAGTCAATCAATGTTGGGCCTACAAGAAAGTGTCACGTAAGTCGAAAATGGGTATAAAATTATTGATAAAGTAAGTTCAGAGGGGTAATAGGGCCTTAGTATGGAATAAGTGTGTCTCTGAGATTTTGGGCATAGGTTGAGGGGTACTTGTGCATTATCCCTAAAAAAATTATAACTCGTATCTATAATCAAGATTTTACAGTCATGTAATCTCTTCTCTCTTGCTCTCTCGCTCGTCTCTCTATCCCTCTGTCTCTCTCGCCTCCACCCAGTGGCCGAGCCACATATAGTGAAGGGGTGTCGACCGACACCCTTTCGTCGAAAAATTACATTATATAGCTAGAATAAAAATATCTTTTATGTTTATATATATTACATATTGACACTTTTTAGCTTTTACACGATTTTATTTCTTTAAATTTTGATAATCATTAGATAAAATTCTAGTTCCTCCACTGCCTCCACCTTTCTCACTCAATACAAATATAAATAGTAACAGACAATAATATAAGTACAAATGTTAATTGTCAATGATACA